TCTGCATGCATGACCAAATTGAATCTTCTCATCAGGCCCCCAAACAGGGACCACTTTAAAAATAAGGAAATTGAGTCTCAGGGAGGCATGTCACGTGACCAAAGTTATGTAACTAATAATAAGTAAATAGGCTAAACCCCAGTTCCAGCCAACTTAGAAGTTCATATTCTTAGTCATGCTGCTCTACACTACTCCTGAAATAAAGGAGCGATTTAATCTATGTTCACACCATTCAAGATTCAAGATTCAGATAGTGTATAGTTCCAGATATTTTTGAAGGCTAATTTGATAGAAAAAATACTGAAAGACAAAAGACAGACCCAGGTACCACTGTGGCATGTTTGAAATTACCAGAATTCCCTAAGGTCAAGATGACATATTTAATATTAAAACATGTTTTCTTTTTCTTTTGGAGATATCGAAGAATCATTCAATGCTTAGCAATTCTTGCTCAGAAGACCATGACTCTGTGCTTGGAAGTCATCTGGAAAATTCTCTTTTTCAGGCATTATGCCAAAGACATTCCAAAATCATTCCAAAAGACACCTGTAACATGTTGATCAAAACACTCAGGCTTACAAACATGAAAATCTCATTCAATTGTCAAACATTACAAAATCCAGAAAGTGTACCGTGACATTTAGAGTCAGTCATAGACATCTACAATCCTATTTGCAATAGGACTTAGGAAAATTGCATTACCTCCTGGTTTTCTACTATTCCAGAAATAGATTTAGTTTACCACTGATCAGATTTGGTAAGCGCACTTCTATTTATTTCATTTGACAATATCCGAGCAGTTGTTGAAGAGAAAGTCTCTGGAATCAGAAAACCCCTCCCTCATAAAAGAAAAGGCAGACAGGCAATAAAAAGGAAAATATCACATCAAAGTAAAATTTTGACTGTTTTTCTTTTGGACTTTAAGTTTCTGATTGTCATATCCAAGGGTGGCAGACTTTCGATGCAGCAGTTGGGTTACTGAGAATGTCTCTGGACGATTCCTACACCTAGTCTGTTTCTATCATGCCCACCACGATTTTAACTAAGTTATTTTTGACAGAAATGATGCTTGAGAATGCCGAATAATTCTATCCTGCCAGCAGAATCATAGAAAAAAGAACTCTTACACCTAGGCTTTTTTTTGACATAACTTCAACTAATCTTCAAACCGACCATGTGATATATAATATATTGTTCTCTAAAGAAGAAATCAAGATTCAGAGAGATTAAAAAATTTTCCAACAAAGCTACACAGTGTGTAAACAACAGAACCAGGATTTGAAATCAGATGGAGAAGACCTCAAAGCCCTCACAAAATAATATTATCTATGCATTTAATAGCTGGTAAATTGCTAAAATTCATCTTGTATTTCTTGAATTAAAATTAAACTTTTAAGTCCTTCACTATTGGAATTCACTATTTGGAATTGTTATTTTGCGTGTTTCTGGCTGCAAGAAGCTGAATACAAAATTTAAAATGGCTTAAATATTCTCGACTCAGTATGTGTGAAGCACAGACATTACCTAAGTGATTGTGATTATTAGATATGGAAACATTCAGGTACTTCCTTGGTCCTCCGGGATCAGAACGTGAATACTAACAAGATCCCCATGTGAATGATAGAAACACTAAAACACGACAAACACTAGCTTAGATGCTATTTGATAAGAACTTATATTGACTCACTTCTCAAGACAAGGAAAGTTGGGTGTGTCCGGGAACAGTTCAACAGATCAATGACCAACTCAAATCCCAAGTTCCTCCTTGCTTTCCACTCTGATTTATCTGTTGTTCGTCCCCTGCAATGTCTGAAGATAAACACAGCTGCCCCAGGCAATATAGAGCAATGTCTAAGGATGGAGAGTCAAAGGGTGACTATCCTCATATTTATCTTGTATCAGGAAAGATAACTTTCTCCAGAAGTCTTAAGGAATATTCCCCCCAGGTCCCTTTGTACTGTATGGGCTTTGATTAGAAGACGCCTCCTAGATACAAAGGACGCTATAAAGTTACACATCTGAAGCTGCAGTCTCTGTAGTGCGGATTAAGCAAGGAAAAGGGTAGGAGGATGAATGTGACACAGATGTCCAGTGTACGGCCCAGAAGCAGCATGGACACCCGCCCCTTGGCAACAGCACCCTGGTCGCTGCACGTCGTCTAGAGGCATGCCTCATGGTGTGGAATAGTGAAGGCTGGCCCGTTGACACAGACCCATTTTTCCTCCCAGAAGACCCTGAACATTTATTTGTTCGACTCTCTGTTCCTGAGAGTTACTATTCACTCTTCCCTAGCCAACATTTTCCATTTTCACCTCTGCTCTTCATCGTTGACACATTCTCAAGTGCAGGAAGGCAGTTTTGAAATTTGATTGCTGTGCTAGCAGTCCCATCTTGTAGGTTTTATTTGCTCTAACACGATTTATGATGCCTTGATTATCTCCGTATGGCCTGAATTGCTAGGCACGCCATTAATTCTCCTGGTGTAAGGCACATACCAATGGAAAAAGGCAAGATCTGACAGGGAAACACAGGTAGCACAGCCCTCCCGTTCATATGCACTTTTAATGGATGTAATTCTCATTACACTCCAACTCTTTGTTCTTCAGGATATCATGTGTGACTTTTAACGATCTGTACGGTATAATTGGATTTCAAGCCCTTGGGGAGAACAAATTACAAATTCCCTTGCTCAGATAAATGGAAAATTTTAACTTCAAGGTTGGCTTCAAATCGTGCAATAACACAAAGATATTCTGTGCCTGCTGTGTGCCATGGACAATGACATGGTATCAGGATCCTTTTCAAACATTTAACCCAATAAACACATTTAATGAATAAATAGATGTTTGAGTTGAAACATTATAGCTAAACTAGCCCTCATTTACTAAAAGGTATCAGCATAGTCAATTATTTTTGGTTTGCATTAAATTATTTATAATGCTTGCCTAATTGGCATATGCTATTCCCTTGGACCTACATCCTTTGACTGGGTACCTTAGAATAAATCTAACAATTTTAATCAAGTCAAAAGGACTCCACAGCCCCCTACCACATGGAAAGTGGGTGGTCTCTATGCAACTTCTCATGCC